GCGCGATGTGGTTCGTGGGGTCACGAAGAGTCGGACACGACTAAACGACTGAACAACAACAACAATAGGATGGAACCCTGTCTCCCTTCACCTGGAGCACTTTGGGGAAGGGGTGGGAGCTGTCTTTCAGGCAGAAAATTCCACATTCTGCCCTGGACATGCTGTTTAAAAGAGACCATAAGTTACCACCGCTAGGCAAAAGCCTTCTCCAGTTTTGGAGACCCACCACCTGGAGGAGGAGTCAAGTGGGTCAAGTCTTGACTCCAGAAGAGGCCGCTCCATATGTAATCCTACATCAGCCTCCCCAAACCTGCTGCTCTCTAGACATTGCAGGACTGGAGCTCCCCCAAGTCCCAGCCGTGCTGGCCACAGGAACACCTGCACAGCGCTTCCACGCTGGGAGGCAGCTTCCGTCTGAGGTCGCTGGAGAAGGAATCTTACTCGGAAAGAGCCCTTTCTGGATCATGGGAAGGTGGCAGAAAATGGCACGGAAAAGCAGCTCCCTGTCTTTTGTAGACTTTCAAAAGTCACCTGCACATTCCACGCTGACCCAGGAGCGGGCTGCAAAGATGTTCCTTCCAGGCCTGCCTTGCCCTGCAGACCAAAACGACACCCTGTGACCTTAAACTAGGAAAAATGATAAAATTAGACAACAACCGCAACCAAGTTTTGGTGGAGAGCTAGATGCAGGTTAACTCCTGTTGTTTCCCATCGCAGGAGGATGACGCCTGGCCTGTAAGGAGGCAGCAGGTTGGGCTCCAAATAAGCCACTGACCTGCATTTGCAGGATCTGGGGCAACTTTCATAAAACAAGTCTGTTCCTTTGATCTAGGCAGGGGAGGTGGCCTCAGGCTTGTAGCAGGACCTACTTTGTCCCTTTTTCCTAGACGCTGGAGGTCCATATCCACTTCTGGAGCTGGGCACAGAGAATTAGGCTTATAATTGACGAGATCTCAGCACAGGGGTATGTGCTGGATTCTGGAACTGGGTTTTACAGCTCTTTGGGCCAGAAAATCCACCCAGGATGACTCCACGATTTGGGCTGTATAATTTAGGGCATGTGGGAAGAGTTCCTTCACTGCTGTTTCTGGAATCATCAACTCCCTTGGTGATCTTGGGCAAATCATCACAGCATCTACTGCAAGGGTTAGCTTAGTTTTCTTCCCCTCCCGCTCAGCAGGATATACAAGGACAAGCAAGACACCTGGGCCTTTTATCTGTCGTATTTTGAAACGTACCTAGGAACTATTCCATGAGTTTGAAAGGTGGTCAAAACATCCCTGGCGACCCCTTCCAACTCAGTGCCTTGGTGAGTGTTTCTCAACCTTGACAACTCTAAGATGTGTGGAAGTGCACACATCTTAGAGTTGCTAAGGTTGAGAAACACTGGCCTTGGTTCCTGTGCATCAGGATAGGCTTGCTGACAGCCTCAGTTAGATGGGTTCACACATCTGGCTAAGCTGAAAATCATGGTTTCCAATCCACCATGCTGGGTTCATACAACACTCTCAGCCAAAATGAAATTATGCAGGAGCGTACAAGTGCATGTTGCATGAAAATAACAGGTGATTGCTTTCTTTTTTCCCCACTGTTGGGCACTACTGGCTGAAGAATATGACGATGACCCCTTCTAAGCCCTCCTAGCTAAGACTCACAGAAGAAGTCTTAACTAGGAGGGCTCAGAAGGGGCCATAGTCATATACTGTACTTCAGCCAGTAGTGCCCCACCGTGGGAAAAATTCAGTGGAAGAATTCAGCTGCAGCTGGTGGGTTGCATTCAGACTGATCTCTCCAATCCCAAGGTCGTGCTTGGTCAGAGGCCACCCAAAATGGCTTTGGGGCACCGCAGGTGAATTAGGATGTGACTTTTGGGGTAACAGTATCTCGAAGAAGACTTTTCCTCCCCACTCTCCTGTATTTCTATAGGCCTGCCTTGTTGACTTTGCCAAATTAAACACATGTGCCTCTTTGGACGGATTGAAACGAGTGTGAAAACAGCTGCAGGACAGGGTGAGGCTTCTCCCCTGGAACATCCTCAGCACTAAATGTCTTGCCGACAAGGTGGATCTTGTGTCCTCTTGTCCTTGTTGGTATTTAAATGCTTGAAATTGGGTGGTCCCCCCTCCCCCCAGCAGAATGGAAGACTTGAAGCAGAATGTGAATTCTTGGAGTTGTGGCCTCCATGCATCTAGAGGATGCTGGCTGGGGGTGTCGGGGTGGCGGGTGGGGAGGGCTGATAAGGATCCTTCAAGAATGTGGAATTGTGCAACAATGACAAGTACAAAGTCAAGGCATTTCCCAAGCCTGATGTATCTGGTCTGTTCACACTCCAGGGAATAACTGAGACCAGAAGCATCTCACACCGCAGGAAGAAACGCAGATCTAGATCTAGCAATGGCGGAGGTAAACCATGCAGGCAGCGAAATGGTAACATGGGCTACAGATGCATTTGAAAACTGTGCTCGTGGAGCACGGTGCCGCACCCTGGTAAATAAAGGAGAGATCAGCTATACAGCCCTGTCACGTTTAATGGATAGCTTTGGGGCCTGTTATTACTAGTTCCTGGGGACTGCGGGAGATGAATGTTTGAACAGGACAAAGAGACAGAAAATCCACCGCTCTGACTTTGGATACAAAATAGGTCAAGAAGGGAAAAGGGGAAGGAGCTGGCGGGTGCCAGGCTGGCAGAGGGAGGGATGAAGTCACACGTTGCCCGGGGGCTTCTCTTCCTAATGAGTTGCCCTTGGCACGGAATGCTTGCTGGGAGGTTGGCATGCCAGCCTGTTCCCTCCCTCCTGCTCTCCACGTGTGCTCAGCGCATCAGTCTGAACATGAATGCGAATCGTGTCCTCTCGCCACCCTCCCTCCCGGGCATCTCCTTCAGCAAAAGAACGTTGTTTGGAAAGTGGCACTTTGGCTTACGTGGCAGCGCCAAGGTGGTCACGACAGGTGTGGGAGGCACCGAGGAGTGGCTGAGCCCCTCCGGATGTGCTTGGGGGAGGAGTGCAGCCTTCCCCACCCTGTTGCCCCCAGATGTGTGGCATGACCACGGGATGGGAGGAGCAAAAGGGAAGAAGGGATGGGAAAAGCGGGCGGGATGACCTGGAGCAGCTTAGAGGAGAAGCAAAGTAGATATACTGGAGGGTGATCAATATATTTATAATGCTATGGGAGATCAATCCCCCCTCCTTAGTCACCCTCAGAATATCCCTGCCCCAGGAATGGAAATTAAACGGGTTATTGACAACAGGCACGCTTGCAGGGACGTGTGACCTATCTTGACCTTCACCTGGGAACCTGTTGGGGTGTTCTTTCTTAGAACAATGAAGCCAAGCGCCGTGGGAGTTAACACCTGCTTCTCACCCTGGCCTCATCCAGGTTTGGCATGGGCTGGTAAGGTGGGGACGTTTTCGAGGCCGCTGGAAATGCAGGCGAAGCCACAGTTTCACTAATGCGGTGAGAGGCACAATAGCAATGTGTAAAATGATGGTTGTGAGAGAGAAGAAGGTGGAAGAATGAAATCCAGGGTGTGTCCTAGTAGTTGACTGGAAGGAGGCACTCGGACAGGAAAAAAAAGGGGTTGCAGCAAACAGAGTTGACTGAGCTAAGGAGACAAGGTCACAGCTGGTGGCTGTATCTGGCCAACTTGGGGCTTGGAAGCCAAGCAGGTTTGGGTTTGGTTAGAATTGGGATGGGAGACCAACAGCTGGGAGTGGCTGAGAAGTAAAAAATACATTCTGGAGGAACGCAGTGCCAAACTGCTTTTGTAGTGCTGTCGAGCAATGTCCATGATGTGACCTTTAACCATTGAAAAGCAAACTCAAGCTGAAGGACAGCCATACTACTTTTTAATTCCAACATGGTCCAGCTAAGGGGCCACACCTATCAAATTAAGCAGAGTCAACTTTGTTCATGGTTGGATGGGAGGCCACAAGAAAACCCCAGGGATGTAGAAGTCAAGAAAACAACTTGGAAGAAGGCAGGGACAAACCATTTCTATAAAAAAACAACATGAACATGTCCTTGTAGTTCCCAGGATTTGAAGGAGCCTTTACTTTTTAAAGCCATTAGAAGGTTCACATACTCAAGCTTTGCTTAGTCCAATATTTTATTTTCCCCTCTGGGCAACCAGAGGCTGCTTTCTTTAAACTCCACAAGGAAGCAAGAAAATGAAGCCTCTCCTTCATGGTTACTCTCCTAGAGCTTGTTTGCTTAAGGAAAGCCAAGAAGTTTGGATGTTGGGCAGGATCTTGGCCTAATCCTGTGGGGATGTTTTTCTGCTTTTCATCCTGCCTTTGGAAAACTGTTGTGGAGGAGATGCAAGCAAGTAGAAGTAACATCAAAAGATGTCCCGGATTGCAGCTGTGACATCTCCAAGGTTCTTGAGGACTTCCTTTTGTGGCTTGCTGAAAATTACTTGCCTGTCATTTGCCCCAGGGATCAAAGGTGTCTACAACAGCCACCTTTCTTCTCCCTGATGCTTCTACCACCCATTTCTCTAGGACTGGGAGCTCAGCAAATTTGTCTCTGGAAGGGGCTGGTGGTTGCGGGGATCTGCAGAGGCTCGTTGGGAAAAATCTGGCCAGCTCAGGTACGGACAGGAGAAAGGCTCTCCTTGTGCTAGCCCTGAGCTGGGCTCTGAGGCCTGGAAGGACGTGTTGGCTTGGCTGCTGAAAAGCCCTGTGGGATGGTGGAACTGGAGGAAGGTGACTCTTGGATGCAGGACGGTTTTAAAAAGAAGCAAAAATACCCGCCGTTGAACGGCCAATCAAGATTACTGCAAAAGTGGAAGTGTGCTTCGGACTAGTAGGAATCCTCGGTTATTTATTTTAATTGCTCTCTCATTTCCCACTGCTGTTCGAAGATTGGCTTCTTCAAGAGCCCTGGGCATTTTTTCCTAGAAAAGCTCTTTTGCTGTTCATTCACCAGCGTGTGCAGAGCACCCTCTGGTGCTCTGCGCTGTAGCTAACGGCAGCTCGTTTCAGCCTGTGCACAAAAGGAGCGCCCCCGGGTTCTCTGGAGCAGCATTTCTGTCCTTCTGGGGCACAATGACTATCCACCATGGGTGTACACACAGACAGACACACACACTCGCCTCCCACCAGCATCCAGGTAAACGACTTACTTCACGGAGATGGAGAAATCCCCCGGGCTACTTTCGCTTTCCCGGATGAGAAAAGCCCCCCGGAACTGTCGCCTTAGGAGGGCTTTTTCAGCGCCTTGCCTGGAGACTTTGCCAGAGTACCACCTAGGTCAGAGGGCAGGAGGTGGAATTAGGGGCAAGAAACCGATTGTTCTGCCAGCCTGTCTCCCGGCTACATCAACGCTTTGAGTGGTGGAAACTGAACTAGCAAAGCATTTCAGGGCCTGGAAAATGAGCTTTGGGATCAGCAAACTTTGGAAAATGAGCTTTGAAACTAGCAAACTTTGGCAGCCAGGAGGCTGATGGTCAAAAGCCGAGGACTGCTGAAAAGGTTGGCAACCGAGTCAGGAGGAGAGAGAGACTGGCGGGCATTTGGGGAGTTTGGGTTCCAGCGATCTTTGCACTGTTTGCTTTTAAAAGGACTGTGTTGGCTGAGGATGATGAGAGGTGGAGTCCTGCAGAGTCGGAGTGGGAAAGGTAGTCTTAGGAAATCCCTGTGTTTTTGGAAACAGCAGAACCAGTAGATTTTTTTTTTAAAAAAAACTGCTGTTAATTAGTTATGTCTACCTTTTTTTTGGTAAAGTACTGCACCACAATGCTTAAGGACAGTGGGAGAAGCAGGTTAGCACAGTTAAAAAACAAAAACTGTTTGTTTCGCTCAAATGGCACACTTGGGTAAAATGTCCTTTTTTTTTTTTTTTCACTCCTAGGGCACAGCCCAACACACACAGCCCCCACCCCACCCCCGCGTGTGAAAGGAGCAGATCAGGGTGCTCAGGCGTGTAAAATGCAGCAGCCACCAGGAGCGCAAAGAATAGTTTCAATTCCACTTGTAACTTAGAGCACATGAGCTCTCCTTATGCAGAAACCTCTGTCACTCTTGGTTTATTTTTGTCTCCCTAACAAGAGCAGATTACTTTGCTTGAATTCTTTTGATGAGACACTTGAGCTAAACTCTCTTTATTAGAGGAATAACCTACAGTGTTTTAAATAGGTTGGAAACAGCACTTTATTAATAACCCTGCAGGTAGCTAATGGCCTGGACTCTAATTACCTCTCTCACTGGGGCCAACAACTTGACAGCTGAGACAGGATGGGAAAATGGCACCGTGCCAAAAAGGGGAATTAATGATGATGAAGAAAGCCCAAGGTGTGCTAAGAGATATTGGCCGGACGCTAGACGGTCTCTTGATCAAAGCTCTCCAACCAGAACAGCACCGGACACCAGCTGGGGGCAAGTCTAAGTTCCCAACCTATTCCTCCTCCTAGGATCCCTGTTTTGCAAGGCAACATGATCAGAAAATCTCCCCCATGGCTTGGCTTGGCTTCGTTTCCCCTCACCCCTCTCCCCATTTGGGTGAGTGATATTGAAATGTAGGGGCGGGAAGAAAAAGAAATCCCAATCGTAGCCCTGTAGTAAAACTGTCGGATCTTTGGGCTGGTTTTAGAACTGCCCGACCGCTACCAATCTATCTTGCAAAGGGTTGGATTCTCTGGCTTCACGTGGGACCCGCTGTGGCCCAGAAGCTGCAGAAACGGGTTATGGCATCCTTGATCTGTAGGGGATTGATCCTGATGGGAAGAAACCAGCAAACATCCGTGCATTTGATTCATGCATACATTTATTTATATGCACAGACAAGAAACACAGGTGCAGAAATAGATGGATGAAGTATCGTTTAAGTGTTGTTTACTAATTTTTTGTCTGCTGCATCATACTAAGCGCATCAGATTCTGTGAGGATTGAATTAGTTGATGACGACGACAACCATAATATCTCTGCTGAGTCTATCCGCTTTGGCCACGTGGAAAAGAAAAGGCTACTTACGGGTGAGGTTTCATCTTGATGTAATTTTTGGGGACAAACCCTTCCACGCCAAACAGCTCTGCTTTGTACCAGTTCTGGTCGTCTTCCATGTTCAGGATCTGTGGACGCAAAAGGAGGAATGAGCGAACATCAGGCTGAAGTTGCAGGAAAAGAGGAGGATGGATATCGATGGGGGTTAGTACAGGGTGGGTCGTCGGCTAGGTAGGCCCAATCTTTGCACTGAGTAAGTCCAGGGGAATATTTAAAGTTCAACCATCACGTAGATTATTTTTCCAGAGCTCAGTGGCCCAAGGGTGCAGTCGAGATTGCTCTGCTTATTTCAGGTTCTAGCCTATCTTCTAAGGTTATGGTAAATGATACAGAGTAAAGGACCATAAAGCTCTTAAAATATGCGTAGTGGAAATGCTAACAGGAAAATAAGCCATTATGTTCAGTTTAACAGCTCATCAAAGGAATGGGCACACTTTCTAGAAATACAGAATGCTCTGTGAAAAGAAGGATTGTGTGTTAAGTACAATACTGCTCTTGAGAGGGTTTCTTTGGGTTTAGGAATTTAAGCAAAGAGGATTAGAATTAATTGTGTGTGTGTGTATCTCTATCAACTATCTGTCATTATCTATCTATCTATCTATCTATCTATCTATCTATCTATCTATCTATCATTACCTATTATCTATTATCTATTATCAATCAATCAATCATCTATCTATCATCTCCCAGATTGCTTCAGGTGCACAATTTTGTTCGGGCTGTCCAATTGGATCTGGTATTTGTGTATTTCAGAATAAATGCACCCCAGAGGTTTGATCTGCCAACAGCCCCGTTCCCACCAAAGTTACCTTCAGCGTGTCTCCCTTCTTAAAGGCTAGTTCATCCTTCTCAGACGCCTGGAAGTTATACAAGGCAACGGCTTCCATGTTTGGGCTGCTCCTTCTCTTGAAGACGCCACTTCTCCAGCCTCGTCTGCCCAGTTTGGTTTTCCGACAAATGCCCGTTGAAAAACCCAGCCAGACGTCTCTTTTGAGAAGTGGAGTTTCTTTCAATCTCCCACATACAGCACCCCAAAGCTTTATTTCCAGTCGCAGGTCAAAAGGTAGTTTGGGGCCAGAAAAAGAAAGGGAAAAAATCTGTGCGTAAATACGAGACAGGAAATATATTTGAATATGCTTGCTGGTGGGGTGTGTAAGTGTGCGCGGAACAAAGAAACAGCACCTGCAGAAAGCAACCTCTGTGTTTGCTCAGAGTGGGGAATTCCTCCTCTTCTCCCAGGGGGGCTTGAGCACAATGTTTCCTGCGCCTGGTTCTCAACACACCCTTGCTCTCAAGGCATCCGCTTGAACCCCTCACCATCTTCTAAAGAGCGAAAACCTTTCTTTTTTCTGGCCGAACACAAGATCAGGGGCAAGCCTCCCCCCCGCCCCCGCTGGCTGGCTACTTGGATAGTAGGAAAAGCGGTTGCTTTCCTGTGTGAAAAGAATCAGAAGCAACCAGTCGTTGAGGTGGTTTAAGCTGTGTGGACTTCAACTCCCAGAATTCCCCTGGCTGGGGAATTCTGGGAGTTGAAGTCCACAC